GTTTTACATCTTTTCAAATTATATATTATTTTATTATTGTAATATAAAACACTTAAAATTTATTAAATGAACTATTAGTTTGCACTTTTATTATTTAAGAAACTAGCAAAAGATTATTTTGGGTAATAAAATATGGCAAATTAAAACTTTTGAGAGTAGTATGGAATTTCCTGCCTCTAAATACAATGAATACAATACAAAACAATACAAAACAACCCACAAAAACTCCTGCTTTTATAGACAACTATGAATTTTAATTAAAAGTTTATAATTACATTAACTTCCAAGTCCAGTTATAGATTCAACCCCTTTCAAAACCAAATATTTACCTATATTTTTAAAAGTTCTATCCATTTGATCTTTTTCTTTTAACACCACGTCCTTTCTAAGCTATAGATGAAAGGCTTTATTTCCTTGACTGAATAAAGGTCATTTTGCCTTAAAATACGTTGGAGGGGGTGGTGGAGACAGATGAAGAGAAATGAAGTGAATATCTGAAATAAAAGTGATTCCAAATCAATTATGTCTCCATTTACATCAATTTTCTTTCTACAAAAAATCAGCTGCAGTATTTAACCTGTTGTGATGAGACGTCGTCGGGTGCAAGAGAACATGAGAAATGCACACCGGGTCTCCAGGAACAGCGGCGGAAAGAGCCCATTACCATTTCAAATAGCTCTGATAAAGCGCTTCTGCACTACGCCTAATCTTCCTCTTACACAGGTAGGTTTCAAGCTTTTATTAAACGTGAAGAATTCAACAGCTCTGAAATTCAAAACCAACTACGTATGGAAAACTACCTTATCTTTCCTACATTTCATTCTTTGCTCTTCTTATATTCTGGAGATGCTAAAATGTTTTTTTTGGAGTGTTCCAAAAAATTGTCAAAAATGTCTTTCTGAAAACCCTTAAAGCACTTTTAGACTCCAGCAACAAGTTTTGAGTATGCCCTAGAAGAAGGAACTGCAAATAGTTGGTGAGAAGATGAAATGAAGTGGTGTGGGGGAAAAAAGGGTAGAGAAGCAGGGGCCAGCTTAGGAGGGCGCATGGCTCAGCGGTTAGGCGGAAGGACTTTGGTCCAGCACACTTGCGTACAAAGTGTGCTAGCCGCTCACCAGCTAAGTCAATCCTGGACAAATTAGTTAGCCTTTCCAAATTATCTCACTTGTTAAATGCACGTAATAGTATTTACCTCTCCAAGTTGTTTGGGGACTCAGAGAATGCTTAGCACAGAATTAGCTGGTATTATTACTCGTCCTAGGTAGCTAAGAAAGTTCAAAGGACAACAAAGAACACTAAAGAATTTTAAGCAGAGAAAAACAGACACAATCTCACAGTGAAGAATGTATTGTAGAAAGCCAAAACTGGAAGTGAAGATGAGTTAAGAGACTGTTTTACTAATCAAAATGAGAAGCCATGGACTCTAGATACTATGGATTTAAACTGATAGGAGGGATAGATGGCTGGCTCAGTCCATTGGGTGTGCGACTCTTGATCTCGGGCTTGTGAGTTCGAGCCCCACCTGGGTGTAGAGACTACTTAAAAGTAAAATCTTTTAAATTAAATAAATAAATAGAATTGTTAGGAGGCTGAGGCTCACTGGGTGCGGAAGAAGAAGGAAGAATCAACAAAACCCAGGTTTTGCATACCACCCATTTTCTGGAACAGGAGGGAAGAAAGGATTGTAGGATACTGCTGCGAGGGCGACAAAAGGCAGTTAAAATTTAGCCTTGCTGAGTTTCACACAGGTATGGAAGAGAGATCTTTGTTAGCTGGATGAACACGGGTTTCAAGATTTCAAAAAATCTGGATTTAAGATACAGATCTTAGAACCATTACTATGTATGGGCAGTTACCTGAAGATGTGGTCCTGGAGATCACCCAAGGATAGCCTGAGAAGCATGTTAGGGTCAGAATCCTATGAAATTCCAATACTTAATGGTTAAAAAGAGGAAACACTTGCAAAGGACAGAAATCACAAAAAGAAGCCCGAGCAACATCATTAAACTCATGGGAAGAGTTTCAAGAAGGAAAAAGTAGTTAATAGTGCTAAATTTTACTGAGAAATCAAGTACATACTCAACAAAAATCCACTGGTGGGGGAGGAAGGTGCTTATACTGGGGAGAAAATGCAAAAGGTATAAAGAGAGATAGATGAATCTGCTCCCTTTTACCCAAAAAAAAATGTTTCAAGTTCATTTTTTCTAATGACATCCAAACACAAAAAATCAGATTAAGTCAAACAGGTTCTCAGACATCAATTAATAAACAAGCACTTTCTAAAAGTTATCAAGAAAAATTACTTCCTAAAACATTTACCTACTTTTTATAAAGAAGCCACACAGGAAAAACACTGCAAAGCTGTAAAGTCCCTCTATCACACAGAACAAAGAGACCCTGTAAATACTAAGCCACTGCTTCTAGGTTCTCTCCAGTTTTACCAACTTACTGTCCATTAAAATTTTACCTTATGTCATTAGAGGAAAAAAATCACTGTATTCCCCTTGAACGGAGATTAACAATAGAAGTTCTGAATGCATTTAATATTCCCTCTTAGATCATTTTTTTCCTAATCCTTAACGAATAAAATAGAGCTATCACTATTCTTATCTTGCCTCAATATTAGCTCATTTAAAGCGTTTTCTTCTCCCTCTAGACAACTGGCTTCTACTCTGAATAAAACCTACACACTGAAAGTATATAGCAGGCTGCTACTCCCTAGTGCTGCCAACCAGAGAGCAGTACAGTAGACATGGCAGAGGTGTGTGCCCAATTACAGATGCTCACTTCTCTAAGTGCTGGCATTCCCAGAGCCCTAGGGGAGCAGGCCCCCCACTGAAATGTGATCCACAGCTAAACCTGCAAAGACTTCATTAAAATCGTTATATTTACAATTATCTTCATCTCTATTGTAGCAACAAGATCAGAATGTTAAGACTGAAAAAAAAATGAAATACATTTTCTCAAAATCAGAACAAAGGAAAGATTTGTGATATAAATATTTAAGCACCAACACAAATTGTAAACATTCAAGTGAAACCCAAACAACCGTTCTACTCATGAATGAAGAATTTATGTGTGTTAAGTTCTGATACAGCCACAAAATTTAAACGCATGGAAAATGTGTTTCATGGTAACTATTTCACTAATTACAACTGATGAGTTTTAAGTCCTTCTCCTCCACTCCAAATGTTAAGAAAAACCCAACTGTCTAGAAAACTCAAACTCTTCACCTGTTGGCAAACAAAACAGACATTTAAAAAAGTTCTCCCTTGCAACAAACACAATAACCAACAAAACAACATTAAGCTCTGGAAGTTGGAGACACGATGTTATCAGTAATTGGAAAAATTCACAGAAAGTAAGTTAAACTGCAGCTGTGCTCAACTACTTTGTGTCAGCGAGTTAGAGCTTCACCCACCATTTATCACAGCCTCCCATTCATCAGTTAAATTAGTATTTTTAATTGTCTTGAATTTTGCTTTAAAACAACTTTTTAAGTTTATTCTGGAACATTAGTTAACAAGTTCATATCCTGAGCAGTTACGGCCTAGCCCACTGAACACACTAGCTGTTAAGAGCACATGATCAGCAGTCACTGCCAAACAAAGAGTGTTCTTAAAGACCGACAAAAAACATGGGTCTAGTACTGCTATGTGAGTGCACAGTCGTCTTCTCACATTTAATGGAAAACCTACGAAATACTGGAAAGGTGCTGATATACCATTTTAAAATGTAGATCTACACATACTAATTCTGTTTCTCTACCATATAAAAAAAACCCAGGAATGCACGAACAGTGTCAAAGGCTGTCCACACCTGTTCAGAGTCAGGTAATGTTAAGTGGCACTACTGTAGCCCTTCTCTACAAATGTTTCTGAGAGATCTTGTAAGAAATTATTTCTTCCAATAAGTGCTTACTAGAAGAAGCACGTACTAGAAAACCTTGTCTGAACAGCAAGGCCAATGTAAAACATTAAGCCCAGTACTTACTGACAGCAATACATGTAATAAGTAAATTACCCAATGAAGATATAATCGCTCACTTAAGCAGGTAAAAATTTTTCCAATTTCCTTCAGCTCGTTTTAATGTCCAGAAAATGACTTTATATTCATCTACATCTTGGAAAACGGGATTTAAAATAGGTTATTAGTTTAGGCAAAAACTGATCACCCAATCGGAGAGCTTCAGAGGCACACTTTATTACAACATTTAAGGGGCTACCCATTAGAGAAATTTTGAAGCACATCCTGCTGGTGGCAATATAAACTGGTATAACCTTTCTAAAAAGCAATTTGGCTACTGAAGTGTTCATATCCTTTGATCTAGGTAAGCCCACTCAGGGGATTTTTCCAGAAGAAAAATCTTGGGGAAAAAAGAGGAAATATTTTTAAATGTACACAAAGAAGTCTGTTTAACACAATGCTATTTAAAATGGTGAAAAATTAGGAACAATCTAAATGTAATACAGGCAAAAGACTAAGTCAATTAAGGTCCTACTAACTTAAGAGAATTATACAACTAAAATTAAAACAATTTTAACAGATGACACAGTTTAGTGAAATATAAAACTACAATTTACAATTATGGGAAAAATACAAGAATTTGGTAAGGTACAGAAGAGGAAAAAAAAAAATAAGAGCACCACACAGTGATGTTCTTATGGGTGTATAGTGACTTTTCCTGATTTTATCATTACTATTATTATTACTATATTGTTTAAGCAACAGAACGGAAAGCATACATTTAAAAACCTCTGCATGAACTGAAAGGCGTAGCACAGCAAATACAGCTATACCGGCTGAAATGCTTAGCAGGCACTTGGGCCGATTATTCAGATGAACTCTTACACCTTTATTTCTAGGAGATCAAAGGGCAACAACATGAAGAGAACAGTCTCTAAAGAACACTCTGGTAGTGAAACATACCATAATTATTTCATAAGTTAAGAAATGTCAGTAGATTCAGAGATAGCTTCCAAAAAGTTTTGATAGCCCACCTACAGCTCTGCACCCATTCCCCGCTCCTGTTGAGGGTGTTTCTTAGGTCCACGTCTGAAACAGATGGAGTTTGAATGAAGAAGCGAGTACTTTTACCTTGTGCTACACAGAATGAAGTCAATGAGCTCCTCAACAACAAATCCGGGGCACACGAAGGATGCCAGCCCGCTGCCCCGTCCGGAGCACGCTGCAGTTGAGGGGGATGCTGGGGTGAGTCCGGGGCACACCGTAGGGGGAGGGGCTGGGGTGAGTCCGGGGCACACTGTAGGGGGAGGTGGTGGGGATGAGTCCAGAGGACACCGTGGGGGGGGTTCCGGAGGTGAGTCCGGGGGACACTGTAGGGGGAGGTGCTGGGGGTGAGCCCAGAGCACACATTGGGGGGGGCGGGTCCTGGGAGTGGGAGGGAAAGCCCCGGCGGCGCCGACCAGTGACCGCACTCGCGCCCGAGCCCCCGCCGCCCGCCCTCCCGTGGATTCAACGACCCCCTGAGTTCAGGGGCACGACCCCCTCCAGCTGTGAGGGCGAGGAAGCCCGTTGCTGGAGAGGACCCCGGCCCCCACGACCTCTAACCACACTCAGGCTCTCAACTAGAGATCCTGACGAACAAAGTCAAGTTTGATCCTCTCAACACCTATTTCCTGTCCAAACAGCCCTTTTGTTCTGCTTCCCTGCTTAATGTTAATGTTCGGTTTGCATCAGAAAATACCACAATGACAGAACCTAGCACACACAGAAGCATAAAGGAGCAAAAGTGTAAAATAAAGGATTATTAGAAGATCGGAACAAAAATCCTACCACCAAAACCTCCACAATTTTCTGCTTGCTTCCCCTCAGATTAACTTCACTTGAAGCTGTGCTCCACGGCAACCAAGCATGAACGGCAGGCCCCGCCCCCTGCAATCTACTGGCCGACGAGGACACGCCCCGCCCCGAGCGGGAAGCTCGTCGCTGCGATTGGACGCGGCTGACATCCATTATTTTAAAGAACTTTTCCTTGCTAGCAGGTTCGGTCGCACCCGCCGAAACCCTCTGATAAGCTGGTTTCTTAAAGGGACAGTAGGCAGTGTTTCGGTTTCCCAGGGCAAAGTGTTTTGCTCACTCTTTTGTCTGGGTGAAAACGCACACACCGAGGCGCCGCGACCAAAGTCTGACAGCCGCAGCGCCCACCTGCAGTTCTGGGACCAACTCTTCAAAACACGATGCTCTTGGCCTACGTCATTTTAGGTTCTACACAGCCATGAAGGTAAAGTGAAGCTCTGTATAAGACACACTCCCTTTACAATAGAGTTCACAGGTTGTCTGGAATTTTTCAAGTGGCAACAGAAAATCCACTGCAAAATTCTGCCAAACTGAACAAAAACAGTATTTTCTCTAAGACTTAAAAATAGGATCATTTAAGTCATGGAAAATAGATAGCCCTGAAACACTAAATGCAAAATACTCATTTCTGCACCACCAAAGTTACTGCTACTCTGGTCCCCAGCATCATCGCAGGGTAAAAATTGGGGGGGCCCTCAAACTCTGGTATTTCTACTTAAAAGTGCACACACATCTACAGGCCTGACATGTCTGCCTCGGTGAGTGCGCAGCCAAGGCAAACGGACATCTACAAAAGGCAAAGGCAACCTGCCCTGAGCGCAAGTTCTGGGTGAAGTTCAGGATGATTTTAGTTGTTTTATTTTTAAATTACTGTTGCTTTTTAATCAAGGGTAGGCACGATTTTGCAGCCTCCTTGGGCATTCATTAATTTAAGGGGCCGTGAGCAGCCCAGAGTGCAGCCAAAGGCAGGGAGACTCCTCTGAGAATACTGACAGTAAATGTCACCTGGGGAGACTCCAAAGACATCACACGCAAACACGTGCCTTTATACATTACTAAGTTTGCTGTATTTTATTATGTTTATTTTAATTAGAACTGCTTATGTCTTAATAGCTTGGCCAATCAAATATTACTCTGACATTAATCACTACCTGACTGAATGGCATTTAACTTGTTCAGTAAAGTCTAATTTTCACCCCTACCAAAATTTTAACTGATTTATAAAAATAAGTCCAAAAAAGTAATGCAAATTAAAGTGGTTTCTTCTCAAAAATACTTTCAATAAGTTTATATAAAAATTTTTAAAATTAAATGTACAGTTTTCAAAGTTCAAAACCTTGCAAGCATTTTTCCTGAAAGAAAATCCATACATTAGAACAACACAAAGCCAACAAACTTGTTTTGAATACAAAGAGAAGTCTGTAGGAAACTGAAAATTCACATAATTGCAACTAGATATGAATATGGAGTAATACCCTGCAGAAGCCCAAACAGCTGCATCATCTATTATGCCTTTTAAGTGGACAAATTGAAAGAGCCAATTCACAGAGGCCTAGTCCCAAGATGCTTTGCAAGGATTCACTGCTCTGAATGCCCAGTACTTCACGAGTCAAGTTCAGGTTTTCTTCCCACTGTGTGGACACTCTCGCAAAACAACACTGGAAGCAGAAGAGGTACAGGAGCAAATAACAGAAAGAATACATAATTCAAGTTACAGCATAAAACTTGGAAGAAAAAAAAAAAAAGGGTTTTAAGTTGGCCAAAATTTGACAGGGCTATAGAAAAAGAGATGGCAAGCTTTTATATCTTAAAATTTGGCAAGCATAAAATTAGTAGACAGTTACGGGAATGAAAAAACCTTTGCTCTGACATCAATTTTTCACTTCAGAGTTAATTATTTGTATAAAACAGACACATATTACATTCACTAAAATGACACCAGGACCACTCTCAATCTATAACCAAAAAAAGAAATACAGACGTGGTTATACCAAGATTATTCAAAGATCTCTAGGACCTACTTGAAAGAACTTCACAGTGATAAATATCATTTTAGGTGGCTCACAGGTTAAAAATAAGGGGATTTTATTCCACTTCTATATCAGTAGCAGAAGAAAACAGCAAAAATAAAGGAAAGCAACATCACAACTGAGATTATTTGAAAACAATACTGCTTCACAGAAACAAGAAGCCTGCAAAAGTTCCAAGGTTCCCTGATTGCATGTGACAATACAACTTTTTGAACATCAAGTATTCAAAGGACATACTGTGTATTCTTGGTGGGGGAGGAGCTCCGAAGCCTTCCCAAACCTATCAACTAACAATGTAGATGATAACAAGCCAGAACAACTTGGTCTCATCTCACTTTAAAAAGACCCTCTCTAAGGAGTAAGTACCTAGACGATTAGGATTAACTTCGGTAGGTACAGAACAGGGTGAAAGCTTCCTCAGAATTTTAAAGGACTGAGAACAACTCCAACTATTCTTCACACAACAGAAATTAATCCTTGGCATCACCCCTGGGTGCTAACAGGTGGGTTTATGCAGTAATTGATAAAAGGTCCAGCCTGACATTCATGAAGCATGACCAGGTCACTTAAGATGTGGTCTCAAAACCACTATCTAATGGAGAAAAAAAAAATTAGAAAAATATTTCCTGACAAATACACATTGCTTATAAAAGTGAGGCATGTATTTGTTTGTAACTCCTGCCCTGTGTCTCCCAATTCATTAAGGGAAAACAACACAAGGGGAACACTGGGAGCAAGAGGGAAGAGGGTAATGGCCCATTCAGCAAAATACTAAACACAAAGGAAATATGAAGGAAACAAAGGGATAGGAAAGCATAAACCAAGCTGAGGTATCTTTCTATAAGACAATAAATTGTTTTTAAGTCTACAGGGATAAACAAGATCACCACAAAGGTAAACTAAAAAGGAACAGGAATCACAGTATCAAGATCAAAGTATAAGGAAAAAGCATTCCCAATACTCAGTTATTAAGATTTAATAGCCATAAATTTTCATGTGCCAAGTGACATACCACTGCCAATCTAAGTAAACTGCGAGACATAGAAAAGTGATGGAAAACAGATCCGCAGACTCTAAGTTCCCTCCTCTCTCCTTAGCAGCCTAAGCTAGAAAAAAATAAACAAAAGATGAAAAAATAAATGATCCACTCTAATTATTTGATAAAATTAATTTTTATATAGCTATCAAAAGAAAAGCTTCTTTTTTCAACAGTCATGGAAATTTTTAAAGAATTATAGTCACAGACAATGAACAATTTTGAAAAGCACAAGCTGAACAGGTAACATCCTTTGATGACCACACAGTAATGTTCAAAGTTAACAGAAAAGTTTATGAACTCATCAAAGGTTCAGAACACCTACTGCATGCTGGGCTGGGTACCGCTAGCTGCTGTGGACTGTGGAAACTTAGGGTCTGGAGTCAGACCACTGTTGTCCCACAGCGATGTCATGGGAACCACGGGTAGTTTTCAGTGTTCTCGTAGCCACATTACAATGTTAAAACAGTTAAATTAATTGTAGTAATATATTTTACTTAACACAAAACATATAAAATAGCATTACTTCAATATATAATCATTCTTGAATTGAGATTTTTTCTCTTTTTTTTGTAGTAGAAATCCAGTTCATACTTCATACTTATGGAATCATTCAGACTTGTGATATTTCAACAGCCAGTGGCTACTTAAATTTATATCTCTGCTGTCCAGTACAACAGCCACTAGCCACATGTGGATACTGAGCAACTGGTAAGTACTAGTACGACCGAGGAACAGAATTTATAGTATTACTTAATTTGAATGGATTTAAATAGCCACAAGTGACTATCTACCAGCTTGGAAATAGCAGCTCTCGTGAAAGAAACAGACACTAAAACAAGTGATATACACTTAATGAATTGCAGTTATTACAAGTATGTACAGAAGAAATGTCCGATATGAAATGAGTAAATATAGCCAACAGAGGGCTTAACCTCTTTTGCCAGCATTAAGGAAGGACTCTTCAAGGAAATCACAATTAAGCAAAAGGGCACAGCATATGCAAAGGTCTTGAGTGGAGAAAAACTGGGAAATACAGTAGAAATAATGAAGGAAAGTACCAAGGGGTGAAATCATCTTAAATTATTCGTAGGAGACTGATCTGGGTCACAGAATCCAAACAGGGTAAGAACGCAGAGAAGTGGAAGCAGCCCTATCTCTTGGAAATAATGCAAGTCTCCCCAAGAAGTCTTGCTGGACCCACACTATGCACTCGGTGAACCCTAGTCATTCCACTCTTCTGTCAAATCCTAAATCAAGCCAGGCTCTTCTGTCCTTTTTGTGCTAACAGTTCCCTTCGCTTGAAAAACTTCCCCCAGCTCTTTCTTGATCTTAGAATTCAATATCACAGTTCCAAATTTTCTATAGGACAAGCTTCGGGCTCAAAACTGTTTACAAGGCAATTTTTACAAAAAAAGAAATTTGCAAAACAAACTCAGTGTGCGATTGTTATATTATTTTTTTTAATGTTCTGACAGATCCAGGAAACTCTTAAAGAAATTCCCCAAACAAACCTTGGTCCCACCATTAAGTTTAAATATTACATCCTCACAGAGACATTCTCAGGACATCCAATTAGCACGTGCCAATCTCTACTGGCACACCATATTTCTTTCCTTCCTAGCGCTTGTCAACATCTGAAAACTCTTTCTTTGGTTTGTTAATAGCCTAGCTTTCCCAGAGACTCGGAACTTGGTGAAAGCAAAGGCCCTGTGCGTTCACCGTTCACCATGGAGGCCTCAGCACTGGGCACAAAGTTCAGGTAGCAAGGAGCAACGGCAGCGATGAGGGACAAGTAAATAAATACAGATATTTTTATATGTCAACATTTAAGGAATATAGCTAAAACTACACGCAAAGGAGAATTTAATGGCGCTAAAATTTTTTATTATACAACATACAGAAATAGAGTTTTTTAATTTAAAAATTCAAAACCCAAAAACAACCTGCAGACCCTAACGAATCAACTAAAAAACTGGAGAACAAAGCAACAGCCAAAAATTTGGGGAGGAAAAGGGAGGGAGATTAACAGTAACAAAATGAAAACACATTATT